ATTCTGAACGTATCTAGTGATACGTACTAAGGTGATACAGAGGAAAAAAATATATATTTAAACTTAACTAAGAACGAACATGGAAATATATTTTAAACGAAAAAAAACAAATCATATTGATTTTGTATTAACTGCTTTAAAAGGTTATAGGGATATTTTCAGTTAAACAGTTTTTCCATACATACTACACTTCAACTTACCATTAGTTAAAAAATGTTGAGTGTGGCGGATTTACGCAGAGAATGCTTGCTTAGCGCGACAATTTTTTTGGACTGGCAAAATTTTAGTTAAATTAGATTTATAATGTAATAGATCAAACGAATTTCAAGAATAAAGGCAGCTCAATTCAGCAACGATATCACCCCTTATTTTTGACTATCTATCTACATATATATATATATATATATATATATATATATATATAATATATATATATATATATATATATATATTTGTAGTGGTGTCTTTCCACCAGACCCCAAAACTAAAAAAGAACATTAGATCCTAGAATTCCTTATAGTCCGCGGTAACGACTTCTTTTTATCAAATTATTAACATTCGTCTAATAATTCGTGAAATGTTTCATCTTACCGTAACTTATAACGGTTTTTTTTTTCTACGAAAATTCTCAGAAATTAGGCATTTTCTCATTTAATTAATTGAGGTAATAAAAAATCATGAATACACAGTTGTGTCAGATAATTTGAATCGTAAGATAATTTGATCACATAATCGAGAAAAAAAGGAGGCCTACAAAAATATTTGGTCTACATAATATTGTTATTTTGACAGTTGGGGGTGGAGATGAATTCAAACGACCCAACATTTTTTAAACCACTTTTTTCACGATGTTTTGATAAAATTATCTTAAGATTGAACTGGAAAGCAAATAAGTGTTCATGAGTTTTTAGTACCTCATTAAATATACCGTTTATCGATCTCCATCTTGAAAATGACCCATTTCCGAGAACATTCGTAAATTAAAAAAGCTGTAGATTACGATAAGACGAATCCATTCTCCATAATCAAGTTTTATCAGCAAATCGTTTGCATTTCTTCTTAACTCCTTATAGGATTCCTTATCTATCTCTATACGTCAATTCTCGCTCACAAGAGCGAATTATGCTTGGGAGCCAGGAATTTCATTGGGACATTGGAGGCAGAGGGACATTCGGCAAATTATAAAATATATTCCAAAAACTGAATGGAAAAATGAACTTGTCCATTTTGATAATAAATATAAGATATCAGCTTTCAAATCATTTTTTGTAATAATCCTTTTATTTTTTTTGGATTTTTTGTTTCTTGAAATTTACAACCGTATTAAATAAATACATCTAGTATATATGAAGAAAAGTGGAATAATGACATGAATTGTGGAGACAATACCAATGGTAGCACTCCGTAAATAGTTTTAAGTATGAAGATCACGAGAACGTCTTTTCATATACCTAGAAGGATTATCAGGAATTGAGCAATATGCAAGTCTGGAAACAAGTAGATTCGGATGGGGCTGGAGTTTGTCATTAAGGGATTGTAAGGATAAGATTAGAATTCGATGCTTTGATGGAGTCCCAAAGCTTAACTCCGTATGTCCACATAGGTCTTATTATAGTTATGTAAATGAACCGTTTGCAATTAATTGAGAGTTTAGAGCGTTTGTCTAGTAAGTGTTGAAGCAGCCGGAAATGACGAGCAGTTTCTTGTCGTTTCAGTCTTGTATGCGGATTCCGAGTAAGACGTTTGTACAATTGGAATTTTAGAGGCGGATTTGTTCAACCCGAACAAGTGGAATATTAAGGATACTGTAGAACAAGAAGTCGTAGGTTTACGACGGAGGGTTATAGTAATCCTGGTGTTGAATACTATTAATCTTGCTTTTCAATATTACCTTTGGTTGCTAGGAGAAACGATAAGTGTAGCTGATACAATATCATAACATGTCATTAAAACTGTGATTTATTTATTAATATTATTTTATTGATGAAACAAAAATTTGAATTGCATTGTTCACTTCCCCTAAAATGTGTTAGCTGCCATATATAATTTCGAACATGTTCTAATGTAGTGCCTGTAACTATTTTACTCTACATCACTCATCAATTATGGATCCTACATAAATCATCTGTAGCATTTCATTTCGCGGGAAGATGATATTAACTGACCAAGGAGAGGGTCTGACCATCTAACACCGGTCGGAATCGGATCCTCTCTGTAAATGTATACATTATGTAAGTGTAAATGTGTGTGTGTGTGTATATATATATACACACACATAATTCTTTAATTGCTTGACTTGAGATGGCTTCATGGGGTCATTGAGACATTACAGTAAAAAAGATCTAAGAGCAAAGGCAGTCGCCGAAGAAATTTGTGTCACAGAAGGACAATCAGTTATCCATCGAAATACTCCCAAAGTTTGTTCAGGAGTTTGAAGTCTCTCAACAATGGAGATATGAGCTTTACCATTGAACCCAGATCAGGTCCGTTTGAAAAAATACTATTTTTTTTTACTTATATTTTTATAAACAAACGGGCTATTTTCGTATAATACATCCTGGGTAATAGGAAAACCAAATAAATTACAGCTTTGCTTATATGTTAATGTAGTTATTTTTCCTGAAAACACAAGTACTCTAGGGTGACAGGATATTAAATCATATAATAATTTTACACAACTTATTCGATAACAAACCTTAACTTAATTAATATGGATATTAAAGATTATTAGACAAGAAAGTTCTTACAAAAGTGGTGCATCCGTTAATGAGTAATAAAAAACAAACAACGTATTTATATGAAAAACAAAACTTAGCGCACTTTAGCCCCTTTAAACGATTTTAATAAACACAAAGTCTACTTGAGTACTGAGTACCAAGTATTTTACTCAAATACTGACCTTTTTTGAGTATAAAAGAATTTAATTACTAATTCAGTTGATGTCAAACGATTAATTGAAGTAATGATTGAATTCTCAATTGTGATTCAATTTGAGTAAAATACTTGGTGCTCGGTGCTCTAAGTTTGCCCATCTCTGATTTGAAGAGAATTTTCCTTCAATCAATTTTTACTAGAATTTACTATAGAGAAATTGGATTTATCTATATTAAATATATATTTTTAGTCATCGTTTTCTATTAAATAAAAAAAAATGATTTACTTGAACACAATACTTTAATTTCCTACTTTTCTGCGGAACAATTGGACAATAGTTTACGTCAACATTCTTGAGTTATTGATGTCTACTGTTGTCCCTTTAAGTATTTCTCCTCACTTACGGACACCCTGAATGTATATAAGAAAACACAAATTTGTTCAAGTAACAAAACTATTTTAAAGAAAATAGTTTTGTTACTATATATACATTTTATATATACATTTTTATACATAATTTAATATATAATTTTATTTTGTTACGTTATATAATTTTAATTTATATATTTTTTTTTTTTTTTTGTTTACAGGATGACCTAACAAAAGATCAAATACAGCGTGAGTATACTTTAACATAAATAATATAATAATATGAACTTTTTATTTAAGATATTACAAAAAAAAAAACTATTTTTTCTAATTGGCGATAAGTACAGATTGAGAAGTTATAGGTTCAGAATTTATAACATTACACAATTAAAATGTTCCACTGAAATTATTTTCATATTATACAGCTTCAATTACTTATTCGTCTTAAAAAAAAAATTATGTCTATTCATGTTTCCTTGATATTGGTAACCAGGGACGAAAGTTTAAAACGTCGACTATGAAAAGTGAAGAATTACTAAGAAAACCCATCAGCATGTATTTCATGATATGAAGAAAAGAAATTAAAGATGGGCAAAGGTACTTGTTTCAAAACTTCTTATCATGGCTACGGTATACAAACAAGAATGCCACAGTGGCTGACAAGATACCTCATACCGATACCAACACCGATAAAAAATAGCCGAAACAGGATAATTAAAATCTTAGGCCACGCGATGCGACCTTCTTACAGACGAGTATTGTTTAGCAAACATAGGCAGACTAGAGAGCGTCGCCCAACATCACTTTAAGCGTTGCCCAAAATCGGTCTTGGTCTTGCACTTTGCAAGACCAAAGACCAAGGCCGCCTAACTGTTGCGATGCCAAGACCAGGACTGGTAAACAAAATCGATTTTTTAAATAAAAATTAAGGCAAAATAATTACTGATACTCGACAATTTTAGTTACTATATGTTAATAATTGGTATAACCAATATACTTTTGCTTTTAACTCCTTTAATTTTTCACTTGGGCTTAGTTAGGTTTCTCCTATCTAAAAAATTACAGTAATGCCTTAATAGTAATAACTTAATAAGTAACTGCACGAATGTTGCGAGACTCTTGCGCAAGACCAAGACTCGTCTCGGTCTCGCTTATGGGCAACACTAATCACTTTGCTAAGAGCTATGATTTTAATCATGGAGCAAAGGAAAGCCTATATATACTGCTATATGACTATATATAAGGCTATATGCCTACAACCTGTATATAATAATCATCAAGAATAACAAGTTATTTAATTAAATTAACTTCCATCCGTACGAATGGATTCATGAAAGAACTGCAGGAAGGAAGATAAAAGCCGCTCGTAGAAGTAGAAAATCTATACCGTAAAAAAAACTTAATCTCAGGTTGGGAAATATCAAATAAATAAAAAAAGAGAGAAAGACCGTATTAGAAATGGGTAAATTTTATTATGTCGAAAACATTGATAGTGCATATCTTACATGTCTATATATTTTTGACTCGGAGTATGCTTTAGGTTTTTAAAAATTATAACTAAAACTGAATAAACGCTAAACTCTTAAGACCTACATGGATTAAGATCTTTAAGGCCAATGGTCACAGTAAATTTAACTGGGTAATGATTTAAATTCCTCAACTATAACTAGCTTAATAGATTCCGCACGATTCTACTCAAAAGTGATTCAAATCCATATACGCAGACCACTAGCGGATCCAGGATTTAATTTTTTTTTGGGGGGGGGGCTTCAGCCAGGAAGCTTTTTTTCACATATATAACGATAATTACTTTGGAAAAACAAAAAAATACTAACTACCTATATGAAATGGTGTTTAAGTGATTCTTGAAGTCCTATTAAATGTAATTAAACGAGCAATAATACTTTAAGACATAATTTTTTAATATTTTTTACCGTGAAACATGGTTACATTTTACCATTTGAGGGGGGGGGGAGGGTTTCAGCCCGAAAGCCTCCCCCCTTCCCCGTAAATCCACCTGTGACACAGACTAGGGGGAGCGACCACCCTCCCAATACAAATGTTGAGAGGACGAGGATATTGTTTCGACCACTCCCTCCAATAATTTGAATAAAAAAAAATTAAAATTGATGACAAATATCGACTGTTCTACACACCATGGGTGATAAATAGTCAGGACGCAGTTATACTGAATGTTTTTTATTGGTGCCAACGTTTCAACCTAAGCGTACGGGTCATCATTTCGAGCACTTAAGTACTGGAACAGTACTTGAATAATTTCAGTGCTCGAAACATGCCCTGATGATGACCCATATGCTTGGGTTGAAACGTTGGCATCAGTAAAGAACATTCACAATGATTGCGTCCTGAATATTTATCATCCATAAAATTGATTAAGAAAAGTCGACTGACTGGCTGGCCTAAGGCCTATAACTAGGTATGTAAATATTTTATCACGACCTAAATATAGCTACTACTTAAATTTTCATTTATATTCAGAGATAATTATATAGAAACATACCCTACGATTTTATGGTTCATTCAACTCGCATGTGGACAACGCAATTTTCACGTTATTTTCTTATAAATTTTCTGCGATAAAGTTGGAAAAAATATATTTAATTAGTACAAGCTTGTAGAGAATGTTTTTATAGACATTTTTACATAACTACGTAGACTGTGATAACATTGTATTTTCCATTCTAACGTTGTGCAAACTGAGATATCAAAAATATTTTTCAGTTTTTTATTGTTATTTATTTTTAGCTCGAAATGTACCTATGTTAGGTTGTCCCCCGTTCAATTCACAATAATTCTGTTGCGTTTCTACACATAATATTAACTACTGCCATTTTTTTTTTTTTTTTTTTTTTTTGGTCCGTCGACTTTTTATTTACGAAAACTTTCAAAAATATAGCATTTCCAATCTGGAAATCGGTAAATTTTTTTAATTTAATGAGACACTAAAAACTCTTGCATACTTTCAAGTCTCTCTCCATTTAAATAAAACAATAAAAGTGGCGAAGAAACTGAAGTTTAAAACCATCTACGTTCAGAATATGCAAATGAAAACGAAAGAGAACAAAAATATCATAAAATTTCATTTATTTAAAAACGCAACGAAGGCTTTATAAAGCAGGAACAAATACAACAGGCTGCAGCGGCCCAACTGTACAAACAGTAAACCAACCAACTCGAGCTAGAAGTGGTAGTCCAGATCCCCCCGTGATTTTTTTTTTTTTTTAATTTTTGTTTAGCTGAATCATACAATAAATCCTTGACCATTACGATCGATAAATAACCCGCATTAATCTGAAAATCAAAATTACTGATTGGCTAAAATATGGGATAAAGCAGAGATATTTGCAGAACAGAAGAGTTGATTATAACAATTACATAAAGGGACATAAATAAAATTAATCTATGGATTAAGACAGATCAACTTCATCCATTTCATTTTTTTCCCCAATGCCTTGAGCCGTTTCGTCCAATATTAGCTTTGTTTCAAAACCTACCATGGTGCAGGGCAGTTCAATAGATGCTCGGCTGTCATAGATCCTTGTCGAAATAATGAAAATGATGCTGACTTTACAAATCCGATACGGTGGATGTGACTTAAGAGAGTCATGTCCAATCTATATCCGAAACTGCACAACGGTATCATTTCTTGGGAGATCTACTCAAAATTTTCTGTTAAATGGAGCCCACTGCTTCTCTTATAACTCTTGTAATTTCTGTTAAAAAGGATTTTACTGTGGGGAGTAAACGAGCAAATAATTCAACAATAGTCGGTAGAGACTTTAACACTGAAAAAAAAAAAATGTATTGGAATACAGAGCTCGGAAGGAATCTAATGTAGTGATTACTATGAAGAGTATCGAATCTCCAAAAACATTTAATAAAGACGAAATTTTATATCCGAATGTCGAGTTTTTCATGAATTCAAACTTTTTGAGAATACGAAAACCAGAAAACGAAGAGTATATTAAGGAATTTTGAGTACCCTCGATTAGAATCTACTCTATTTTTTCGTCATTATGGACTAAGTTTATTGTATATAGGTATGAATGTGTTTTATATATTTTAATTTCATTTAGCTTTTCTCTATTTTTTTTCTTTCCTCTATTTTTTTTTTTTTTTTACCTATGTTATTATTTGTATGTATATATTGTGTGAATGTTCAATATAGCCCTAATATTAATGCCCTCCAATGCGGCAGAATGTATTATTTTTCAAATAAAAAAAAAATAAAATATGGACTAAGTAGTAATGCGAGTATCATAGAAGACAAGTAGAGCTTAACAGGTCTTATAAATAACAGCAAATCGAAGGTCTTATAAATCAAGTCGCGAGTTTGAAAAGAGTTAGAGGAAATAATTTATAGAAATTTAGGATCGTTTTCATTTTTTTTTTTTTTTTTTATATTTTCGTCGAACCTGATGTTTGTTTCAGTTCGGTTCTGACAAAGCCTCAGAGAAAGTCAAACAGGTATCTCTCGGTTCCGGCAAAATAAATCATTTGTGCCAGAAAGAGGTGAACTGAGTCCAAAAGTTATAGCATCCTTTTTTAACAAGGGGAAAACCGTCTCCGAAACTTTGGACAGTCCGATTCATAAAAGGATCATTGTAGGATGAAGTTTCTTGAGAATGAAAAGACGAGTTGTAACAAATAAATGTTTCTTACGATCCATATTAATCGATAGCCGAATCCTAATAACTTTAAAAACTCATGTATAGTAAAAATAAAATATTGCGATAAGCACATCATTATTTTATTTTATTTTTAATCCCCATTCTTTAGTGTACATAGGTGTGAATTTGTTTTATTTATTTTATTATTATTTGGCTTTAATGTGTTATTTTACTTATCTTGTATATTACTTTATCTTTATATATATATATATATATATATATATATATATCTTTTTTTTCTTTTTCTCTTTCCCTTCTTACTTGGTTATTTTTATTTATTTTCCTTTCTTATGTACATATTGTGTGAATGAATACTATAGCCCTAGTACCAATGCCCTTCAGTGTGGCAGACTGTATTAATACTCAATATAAGAAAAAAAAAAAAAAAGAAACATTCTTAGCAATCTTGAAGTATTTTTACACAAGTATTACAACAATTTTATTACAATAATATAAATAATCCATCACAAATTAAACTGGTTATATTGGAGTCATCGGCGCACACAAAAAAAGTTTTAAATATAAGTATTTAACGCTAATCTTTAAATTTAATTCTTATTACTTGTTTTATCTCAATACAAAATAATATGTCTTAAACCCAATATGATTTATTTAACAATATCATTACATTTCCAGTGCTCAAGAGGGCATTTGATGCTTTTGCCCAGAACAGGGGTTACATAGAATGCAATATGGTGGGAACAATCCTGCAGATGTTGGGTCATGAGCTCTCCGACGCCAGACTTAAGGAAATCATAGACGAAGTAGACGCAGACGGTAAGTTCAGATATTTAAAATAGATAAAGGTGAGCCAATAATCAAAAACTAACACGCATAAATGCTTATTATTTTCTGTTTGTTATTGTTAGCTTTCCAAATTCACTTCCCAATACGGTTATATTAATTAAAATGAACTATATTTAAACCATGAATAAATAAACCTTGATCATCAGAACGCAACATTTTCCCCAAGAAAACCCTGCCAAACCCCAAATAGACAAGGTTTGACTAGAACAGATGTTATCTCCCAACTCAAGAGCTATGATCTACTCCTCAAAACCTAAACATTTATTTAACATTAGGGGTTCTTTAACTTGGAGGAAAACCCTTATAAACATATTTTTTTGGGGACTCCATTCACAAAGTTTTACGAAGCTATGTTAATACATCAGGGCCCGGAAATTAAGCAGACGGAGGAACGAAGATTGAAAAAAGTGGTAAAAACCCATTTTTTTATATATTTTTGTTTTTATGAAAATGAACAATCTAATTTAAGTTTAAGATGAATTACCACTAATTTTAAAAACAATTCATCAATCACTAACGTCGGTATTCCAAATATAGGATTAATACATTTTGGAAAACTATGATAAATCGCACCAAAATGTTTGATTTTAATTAAAATCAATCCTAATGATTAACCGACATTTCTTTATATTTATAGCATGTTTTAACATTAGAGGAGTGTAAATTATTTTTTCTCGACTTATAAATACCAGATCGAAATCAGGAAAGTTAAAAATCATTTAAATTAGAGTAGATCTGGAGTTTGTTATTTCCTACTTATCCGTTTGAAATTAACAATAACACGTCAGTAAGGATGTCGATAAGCTATCAAAACGATACTTAGAGGTATAAATCTAAGAACTTAGTGATTCGATAATATAATACTATGAAATATATATGTTAATATTCTCCTACAATCTATTATGTCTTCTTGAAGAAAGGCAGATAGTTGTAAAAAAAAATGATTATTTTAAAATGAATCCTCACGATAACGCACTCAATACTACCGACAATAACTTGATTTGAAGTTTACAGCAAAGAAAAACAAATTGAAAATCCAGATGTGAAATATTACTCTGAGCCCATCGATGGCACCGGAAATTTACTTGACTGTCACTAAACTCATCGATGAAATTTAGATCGTATCTTTATATATCTAATGATTCCGATGGTTCATTATAGCATTATAGAATCCGATAGCATCCAGCAGCAATTGGGAGGTTAGGTAACCTCAGTTTTTTGTTTGTGAATTTACCAAACATATTAATATTATTTCTATCTTATTTATATCTGTTTAGAAATTGAACAATCCAGGAAGTAGGTATTTCCTTTTTTTTTCATGTTATCCAACCTATCGCTGAGTTTAGAAAAGCACTTTAAAACTGAATAAATTAACGCTAATTACCATTCAATTTCAGTTCAATAATATCGACGGGAAAGTGATTAATTCTGAGACATTTAAGGAGCCTCCATTCCTTTGGCACTATTTTTTGTTATTTTTCCTCACATATCTATGTTACAAATCCTTACTAACCATCGTGTGAACACTTGTGTTTTTATCGTTATGATATATATTTTTGTGGCTAATAATGATTCCGAATCATAAATTCTTTGTCAGGTACCATAACTTCTATAATTCCCGGATATTTTCAAATTATAAAAATTCTCTGACTTTTCCAGGCATCCTTGTTCCGCGTATAACCGAATAAAGTGACGCCAAAAAAAAAAAAAAAATATATATATATATATATATATATATATATATATATATATATATATATATATATATATCTGGTGTGAAGTTAATGTCAAGACAGCTTTGCGTATGGTTATGAGGACCGTAGTTTAAGAACTTATGTTATAAAGGGATGACCAGTCTCGATACTGCTAATCTTGTATGTACTGGGAATATCAATAAGGTATATTATCGGATGTAAAAATATCATTATAATTTCACGTATTTTAATTTCTATACAGATTGTACAAATTTCTATCCATGGATAGTAGTCATCTCTATTCTCTAACAAATCAACCTTTATTATCAATAAATACTTTATGCACGTAAATATAAAAAAATAAAAATTTTAAATGAAATCCACGCTATTTAACATCTATATATCATAGATTTACATGTTCATTTTAAGTATATATGTAATACATTTATCTCCTTCACAAGTATGAAGTAGATTCATCACATTGCAAATAAACCAAACAAATTCTAAATAAATAATACTTAAGGAAAGTAATAACCAGAGCAATTAAATGATCGACGGACCATTAAAAAAAAAATACCTATCAGGTGAATGATAAATTTTAAAATTCGTACTTTTACAAATAATAAACTAATTAAAAAGATCTAATTTCAACCCCTCCTCCTACCAGAACATATTACTGATGGATAACTTCTTTCAGGTTCTGGGCAACTAGAATTTGAGGAGTTTGTCGCTCTTGCTGCAGGATTCCTGACAGAAGATGATCAAGATGCAGAAGCTATGCAACAAGAACTAAGGGAAGCATTTAGGCTCTATGATAAGGAAGGTAACGACAAGAATATTTTTTAAAAAAAGTCTAGAGTTTTAAATTTAATGACCTTAAAACCACGACAAATACTTTTAGATTAAAAATTATCTAATAAAAAAACAAAAAAAAAAACATCTGATTTGTAAAATAATTTTTTTTTTTTTTTACTGAGATTAAAAAAATACTAATGATTTTATTCCAATTCCAAAAAGGCTGGTGATTTAATTTTTAAGTACTTATGTTTTTAAACGTTAAAATTTAATCAGTAAGAAATAAATATTTTCCTTCAGGTAATGGCTACATAACCACTGCTGTTTTAAGAGAAATTCTCAAAGAACTGGATGATAAAATTACTTCACAAGAATTGGACATGATGATCGCTGAAATTGACTCAGATGGTTCTGGCACAGTTGACTTTGATGGTAATGATACAATTATAAATTAAACAATATATTCACAATAGTATTATAACAAATACAAAATATGAAATTTAATAACATAACCCAGAGTAATGCATGTTTTTTGGGAGGGATTGGGGGATTCATCAAATTAACTAATTTTTATAAAAATATTCAAAATATCTATCATTAATATTAATTAAGTTATAATGGCATTAATACTTGAAAGTGTGCATGGGATATATTCCAATACTTATCAAGGCTTTTGTTTAAATTGTACTAGTCTTGAAAATGGCAATAAGCCAATACAGAATTTTAATTAATGACTGATTTTTATATAAAGCTAGTTTAAAATTATTTAATGTATTACACTAATGGCTTAAACTAATTATTTACTGAAAATTACGTATGATTTTATTTTCAACTTACATATTCAATGTAGAGTTAAATTGAAATTTACTTATGGTTCATTAAAATTACTTTACAAGTAGAGGATCTCACGTTTGTCACCTATATTTCGTGGTGAATCTAGAACTTAAAATATTGACACATGTCCAAGCTTTGCTGCCGAGTTCCAGGAGTCTTGGAAAAATGTGGAAGTTAGCACATGCAAAACACATTTTATTTTATATATATCTGGTTCTAATAAAGGTATGAAAATAAATTCAATAGCAAAATATTCAAGTATTAAGCTTGACAAAAAAACAAATTGAGGTAAACATAATAATATAAGGGCATAAAAACCAGACATATAAAATGTGTACTGCACATGGTAAACTTCATGAAGTTTTCTCAGGCCTCCTAAGCCAACTGATAAGCTACTAACTACAACTAAATTTAACAGATTCATTACATAAGAATATGGTAGTAAAAAAAAAAGTTTAAGATTAATAATATTGTGATTCTAAAAAGTATAATAAATATATTTCGATTAAGAAATAGTTACTAATAGTTTTTTTTTTCTTTTAGAATTTATGGAGGTCATGACAGGAGGCGATGATGAGCGGTAGTCAAGTCACAATTTTTTCTAATGAAAAAATCACCAACAACAATAGACCACCGATCCATAAACAACCAATGTTTAAAGATGTATAAAAAGTGATATAAAAAAAATACAAATTTTAAACACCACATATCATTTGTACTAAACTTGTGAATGAGATATTTTATATGAAAAATAAAGTAAAATGAGAGTTATGGCCTTTATAAAAATAAGTTATTATTTATTATTAAAACAAAGATCCCAAACCATGATTATTTCAGCAAATTTATTAAATGTTTTTGATCTATTGTATATTAATAAACAAATTAGATTTTTTTAAATATTTCATTGGTAATAAAAATACTGACTGATATCTTACAACTTAATAACTTTTGGCTAATCATGCAAAATATTTTTCACTTAATTACAATGAATTTTAAAATTCAAAATGCGAAAAAGGAATCAATGCTGTACTTTTTTGTTTCGCTTGAGAATTAATAGCTTTCATAAACAAAATGTTGTAGGACAACTCATTTGAAGGCTAAAAATTTTATTTTGAAGATGAATTCTATAATGCTCTTCTATTTCTTTCGAAAATTTATAAGAAATTTTTATTAACAAATCGATTACGGACTTCTTGAAAAGTATTTTACATTCCTTATACTTTGACTGTTATGAATCTTAAGTAATAAAAGGAACTGTTTCAAAGTTAGTACAGCATATTTATCTGAAATTATTCTTTATCAAAATTTCTTATTTAGTACTTTGTAATGAATAACGCTGCTCAGTCGAACTGAGTACAAGCAATGCTCTAAAACATATATACATATACAGCTGTAAATTAGCACATATCTTTTTCTGTAGAGATTATCCAATAGAATATTTCACCTGATTTCCCAAAAATAGTCACCAATCTTATAAAGAAAACGGTTGGTATAATAAAAAAATGCTAGAGGAAAAATTTGTTGAGCATAACGTAGTCTTCCAGAATATACTAATTATTTGACACTGGTGTGTACCAAAACTGTGAGCTTCACAGATAACCCCCATGTTATGCAGATTATTTCAGAGGGTAATTATTTAAGAAGTTACAATGTGTGGAAAATGTAGATTTTATAATTAGAAATTAAGTTTTAATTTTTGAATGTTTTTACAACAAAAGAAGTTTACAAGAACATGATATATGATTCTGACACCTTTTTTGTAATTAAAAAAAATCGCGCACAAGATTGAGGGTTAATGTATTTATATCTTATTTCTTGCCAATATTATACCTCAACTATAGTCTTCAATAAATGTGATTTTAAATCTAAAGGAAAGGATTTCAGAACTGATAAGAATTATGTAGGATCCTGTTTGCTATGTGAAAGAATCAGTTCACTATTGTTCTTTGAATAGTGTTTAGTTCATTAATTGCCTCCTACCCCTTTAAAATATGTCAGGGGACGAGTATATCATTTTGCTCATCTGCCAATAGTTAGAAGAACAAAAATAATATCAAAATCAATAACAATTAATCTGCATGAATAAATGAGATATGCAAACTAAAAGCAATTAAAGAAATAGGACAAGTCGAATAGATGGCTAAGCTGAGGCCTAGAAGTAGGTATGCAAGTATTTTGCTATGCCCTATATTCCTAATATTGAAATTTTAGTTAAGATTCAAAGATAATTAAATGAAGCAACATATCTTAGGATTTTATGATTCATTCATTTACATCCTTCCATTTTTATATGAAAATTTTATTATTACATTTCATGCAGCAAATTAGAAGCATCGGAGAATTGAGTTTATTTCACAACCTCAAATCTTTAAATAAAAATATGAAATATATATAATCACTTTGTTAAATATCAACATTTATTTTAATTTATAGTTTTATATTGTTTGTTTTACAATAATTATGTTGATAATTTTTTGCTTGGCATTAGAACATGCCATTAGGGAGGTAATGTGTACTGAAAAAGGGTTGAATATGGGTAGGATAAGAACCGTGCTTGACTATGCGGATGATTTGGTCCTGTTAAGCGAAGACACAGAAACTATAAAACTAAATACAACAACGCTAATGAAAGCCAGTAAAGAACTAGCTCGAAATAAACATGGATAAGACAAAATATATGGTTAGCTGCATAAATGGCGATATCGATTTTATTTATAATTGCCTGTAATATCGATATAGAAGGTAATATATTTGAGTACTTAGTGAAGTTTAGGGTATCTAGGGTCTTTGATAATTAGAAAAAACAAAATTGAAGAGGAGATTAAGGTTAGACTGAAGGCAGGAAATGCTTGCTATTTTTCTGTGAAAAAAATTACTTAAAAATTAGAATCTGTAGAACCATTATCCTACCTACAGTTCTTTACGGATGTGAAATTTGGCTGCTTACATCAACGGATAAGCAACGTCTTAAGGTTTTTGAAAATAAATTATTATGTAGAATATTATGACTGGAGAAGAATGAGTTAACCGGAGAGTTCAGAGGATAACACAATGCCGAATTGCGTGAATTGTATCCAGTTAATATAATTGAAGTGATTACATCGCAGGGAATAAAATGGACTTGTAAAATTGTTAGACTTAGCAAAGCAAGAATTCCCAAAACGTTAATATTTGCTGAGCTGACTGGTAAACGTCTGAGGATTAAGCCGAAGCGAAGGTGGGAAGATTGCGTTAAGGCCGATCTGAAGGGGCTGGGTTTGGACGTAGACCAGTGGAGGGATTGTGTAGACAGCGATTCATGATATCGGTATTGAACCTTGTGGCTCGTTAAGCCTTTTATTATTATTATTATAGATACTTTTTTGGGGTATCCCAATCCTGAGACTTTTTTGGGAGGATTTCATTACCTCCAACCATAACCAGAATAGAGTGTTTATGCCTATGGTGCCACTGCCTATGAGTAAAATAAAAAAAATAATCAAAATTTTGTGGTGACAAGATACAACATTCAACCAGAAATATGATATTATTGGTTGAAATATCCTAGTTTGAAGTACCTCTTAGCCAGAAAAATGCATCAAGAATCGTATTTGAAGAGACTGAATGATATTTAACTATATCTGACTCTGCAGATCTTGATAAAAAATGACGAATTTTGTAAGCTGATGCAGGTATGTAAGGAAATGTCCTGACAAATTGATAAAAACGTTTCATACAATTTGGAAGAAATTGTGTTTATTTTTTTCTTGGTGTAAGGCTGGAGGCTGTATGTGCTATGGTTATGGTATGATAGGAGTTGACGTACTCAATAATAGTCTTATCCTAACTATAATAAAAATTGTTTGATATACAATTTTTAATAAAGCTCAACATACAACTTAAAGATTATTTTTTTTTGTTGATGTAACATCTTTCTCCCAAAATTATGAAAATGCAGTTTAATTGGGTTCTAGAGGTACAACCAAGCCTATTCTAACCGAAGGAGATTCATAATGAAATAATTTCAACCCTCCTAGACTAGATTCAAACAAACACCACTAGGCTCAAGAATGCTAAAGCGGACAACGTCTCAACACATTCGGCCATCACAGCTTTTAGTGCTATAGAAGTATTGTCAAACTCCTGCTGAACTCCTTAAAATGCATTTGATTCATTTAAAAAAGAATATTCTTTATACAACACATTTTTCTCTGATTTCATACGCTGCCCACTGCCTCTCTTATTCTTCATGAAAACTAACCGAATTGCCAATAGCACCAAGTAAATTTTCATGAAAAGGGCACATTTTCATTCTCCACTTAAATCAGTTATTATTTGGTTGTATTATATTTAGAACAGATCGACAGTCCCATTCCACATTTTCTCATTTATATGTTTACTTAGAATTTATAACATTTAAAGACAGATATCTTGATTTATAACAAATAACACAAAATAAAATAATTCCTCAGGACTTGTCAAGTACAATACAGTCAGTTTATCAAGAATTAAAAGTAGTAATTAGAATAAAAGAGTAAGTGTTTTAAAACTTCATAATCTATAAAGAAGATATTATGCATTTTCAAACATAGAACTAATCTACAGATAAGAATTTATAAATATTCAGATATTATAAAGCAAAAGGCGGAAAGGAACTACAAGAGGCAGAAGCGTTAAAAATGGTACAGAAAGAAGTGACAGATCGAATATTTTAAACATTTTGCATAAAAATTACACGACTTCTCACCAAAGAAGAATATTAACATAAGAAAGACTTATAATTACTAAAAAAGTAAAAAGAAAGAAGTTTAGCTAACTGCACATTGTACATTCCTTATTTTTGAAAACCTGCCTTCAGGGAATCTTCAAAAATAACCTTATTTGATTGTAGGCATCAGCTGGTTAACATTCGGAAACTGAACCCACATTGTTTCAGATACACAATGGAAAGCTTACATCTTGGAAGTCATATGCACTAGTTTAGAGTAAAAAACTTCTAAAGCTTTACTGGCTTCAATTATACAAGTAGTTGCATCAGTTTAAAGCAGTAGAACATTGAGATAATAAATTCCTTGGGAAATGATGACATTCATGGATTGGTGAACAAAGTGGGTGACTATTACTAAGATCAATGATAAAAGGGACTAATATGACCGCTGTATTGCTGCATAAAATCGGGAAAATAGAGATATACTGCTTGTGTATGAGCACTGTAACAACAGCAGTACAGCAGCCGTATTAGACTTCCTGAAAATCCCTTTTATTATTGGCCTTAGTAAATTTAATAACTGTTCAAAACAAACTTGTCTACTTTACGATTGTATACGATGTGACCAAAACCAAAAAATTGGTCTTAACTCTTTTTCTATATAATCAGCCCTTGCATCAAATGAACTTTTTTGTTGGAAATTTTGTATAGAATCACCACCCAGAGTTTCGCTATTAAGAATTGAGAGCCACTGTATAAGAAAATATGATATGTCAACCTAACAAGTAAAAAAAAATATTTCCTCAGCCAAAAATCTAAATAAATATAGTCTAAATGTCCAACATATGTAATTTACGGTCAAATATGTGAAAAAAATAAAAATATGTAAAATCAAAGATGTTCTATTAAGGTAAAACATAAGAATTCTAATTCTATACATTACAGTGGTAAGATAAGAGTTGATAAACTATATTCCTCCTCATCTCACAAAGCAAATAATATAACCAAAATAACAAAATATATTGATAAAAGGTGAGATATCAACTTGATAGCTTTGCAGTTAAAAAAAAAAAAGAGATACAACTGGGATGGGGAAAACCCACCTAACTGGCAAGATCCAAGAGGTAATATGGGTTTAAGTGTATTTTTCTTTTATTTATTTATTTATAATGAGGAATCAGGCATCTTAATACTTGAGGTGTGTCCAACACTAATACATTTTTACAAAGGATTGGATCCAACTACTTTTTTATTTCTATTGATATAATGTAGTTTGGATCATTATAGACATTACCAACTCAATTTTGTTGTCTTCTGTGTCTGATGAAGCACTAAAATAACCATGATAAATGAATCATACAAATAAGTTAGCAAAAGAAGAGGGAATATAATAGAAGTTATCGTAGACAAAAAGAGAAGCACTGTGAACACTCTTTCAATTCCCTGGCTTCATCTGATATGGTAAATCAGCTCAAGAGTAATATTATCACAGTAAGCTTGAAATTAATAAAATTTAAAGTTTTAGGTTGGCCACCATAACTTTATGCCTGCTATATTGTAAGTATCAGAGAGAAAACACAACAAGAAGGCATAATAATTGAAATTACATGAAAAATGATACTGTACGATTATAAGCAACATTTCTATATCAAGTTTGTATTTAAGAAAAATCTAATCCATTTAAAAGTATAAAACTTATGGATTCTTACTAAAGAAATATGTAACTAAATCAATGGATGTTTACGTTAAAGAAAAGCAATAAACCAAAGATGAAACCACCTGATCATACATATATTATGAGATAAGTTGTGGTTCTAATTAAAACTATTTAAATTAGAATAACCTCGTTATGGATTTATTTTAGAACAGTAACTTAGTCTTGTTTTTCAGTCATACGAATAATTAAAATTCCAAAAACATTATTTGAAATCTATTCAAAATCCGAATCATTAATAAGAGCATCATAATGTGAACGACCATTCTTATCAAAAATAATGAAGAATGAAAATAAAACATTTAAAGACAACTGTAAAATTCATAAAATCAATTAATTAATTTGACACACGATTATGTAATTATTCAATTTTAATAAACAAGTTTAACAAGCAGTGAATATATTATTAACCCATGGGTACATAAAACAATAAAACTGCCGCAGGTCAAAAATATTATTAGTACTTCAATAGTATGAGGGCACAAAACAAAGTAATAACAACAGGTGTACTAAATTAAACATATAAACTACATATACTTTAATAAATAAGGTGTATGCTAACAAATATTCGTATAAAAGAGGAAAAATACAAATTGAAAGAATTTATGACAACTCAATGATAACAAACATCAAACATAGTTCTACAATACAAGTATTTGACCACAATAATTGATAGGTGTCGATTGAAATTTTCAATACTTACCAAATGCAATACAGTGTTTACAACTTCTCTGTTTGTCACTTGTCCAACTTCAACCAGCCCGATAAGAACAGCAAACTTTAAGTTATCATTCATGTCCATTCGCACCACATCTTCGGGTTTCTTAATATCACTTGTTATTTCTGACGGCATTGTTCCTGCCATGGTTTTATAAGTTCGATATTCGGCAAGACAAAAATCGGTTATCACATAATATGGAATGATATGTAGCCGGGAAAACAAAACTGAACCCGTCCTCACCTCCCTGGTGCCATGTTGGAAACTGAAGTACTTTTGTTAAGACAACTTCATTATCATCTGCTGTTAAAGGATTGTAACAACTACATATTTTTTCATCATTGTTTCTTTCTGATATAAAACAATAAAATATTGCAATTTTATTTTGCATAAATAATTAAAATATTAAAAATAATTCATTCGTATTATACATATTTCTTAAAATTTTGACCTATTCTTATATTCAACCATAAAATATGTATTTCAAAAATTAAATAAATATAAACGTATTTCAGCATGTTTCATAATTTCTAATCATTATTATTTTTTAAAAATAATAACTCTAAAAAATAAGGGCGTGGGGGTGACGGGGGTCGTGTCAATATCTAATTGGTAGCTTCACTTGTTTTTGTTATTTTCTGGGGATGTATGGATCAATTTTCTTTTCTATGATTTGCATAGTTACTTCTTGAATTTTAATGCACTTTGGCAGGAGCAACACCTTTTGGGATTACTTGTGCTACTTTTTTTTGTAGTATTGATTATCTTCGAAATTGGACTATGATAATAATATCTTATAAAATTACTAAAAAAAAATCATTCACTACGCCCAGATATCTCCATGATTTGCTTCTAGACTCCTGCCAAGAGATATCTGATTTCAATGAATAATGGTGTTGTAAACCTATGGTTTAATGATTGCCATTACATTTCTATTATTGACACTTTAAACAAAATTTAATGATTTAATGCAATCCGTTTCGGCTTTACGTAACAGTAAACGTGAATTGTATATATATTTATTGCACTAAGAACAGGTTCTCTTAAAATAGCAACGTATTAGTATATGCACTCGCTCAGGAAAAGGGAATGGAATGAAATCCAGAGACGTGGCTTCTAGCTATAACTTGTTTTAATGGTTTTAAGGTAAAGTTCATGAGAATATTATGAGCCAAAAATTTTCTTCTCATCTTCTACTAAAAATTATGTTGTCCATAAAGACGATATCTAACTAAATCCAACTATTGCTCTTTTTACTAAAAAATAGCAAAAGAAAGAATATCTTGACCTATTGTTGATGGTCGATCCAAGGTAAGATGGGGGAACAGAAATAAAGAGGTGAAGAAAGGAGAAATGAGTATGGTCTTTAATTTACGGCCAAGGTATACATGCTTGGTCAAAGTGGAACCGACCAGATCGGAGGCCTGTACTTACATCACTGTATCTTTTTTCTTTCTTAATTTTACCTAGCCTTATAGGCAACATGGGTTAAAGCAGCAGTAGAATACTGTGCAGGGTGCATGCCTATTCCAGAACTGGGAATGACATTCTTCATTTTCTATATAGCTCTTGATTTACATTTTTATGGGATTGTTATAATTGTGGTTACAACAAAAGAGGCATAGACTGCAGTGAAGTCCTATGAACAGGGTTGTGCACAGGCTCACCCTGTCCTTTTCCTAGTAATCATGTTCTAGATTACCATTGTCACCTTCAGCGCTCCTCTAATAGGCTCCAGCTCGGTCCGCAGAAAGATACGTGTTGGTCTTACTATCTGATTCCAAGCGTTAAACGAATTTTCTTTTAAACGAACAATTCTCTGATTTATTAGCTGAGCTAACACGCTCTACGAATGAATATATATAGGGTAAAATCGCCAGTAGTAAGACAGAGTACCAATACCTGACATCCTCCTCGAATAATAAAATTTCAGGATCTCCTAGACCTCTATTTCATTTATTTTTGTCTTCTATATTTTCTAGTTATATATTTGTCTGTTTTGCTTTAGTCTTGTAACGGGAGTCGTAACGGAAATAATGAGTGGCAAATTAGAAAGGTCCCTTGCGGCCCACTTACAGTCCCAGGAACAACCATCTATCAGTAAGGACATCATACCCTAAGTTTGGCTTTTTCTCTTTCACTACTTTGATTCGTCCCAAAAGTTTTGTTTTATTGTTTCTTGGAGTGTTTTTAGAATATGTTTTATCAGTTTTTAACTTATCTTGATAAAATAATTGGAAATGTAATGGATGTCAGCTACTGGAGCCTTATAATGGGGTCTTTTGCCAGTAGCTGACAGTCTTGTATTTTCATAAATTCAAAGAGATATACTGTATATAATGATTCTTAAAAATGGGACTATTAATTACGATCTCGTTAAAAAAAATGCTAATGATTTTGATTAAATATGAAGCAAAAACAGGTTCTTGACAGTGACCAGCATTTATTTAAGCCGGGAAACATGATTAAGTTGGTTTTATAATAAGTTAAAGACAATTTTTGTTAATATCTAATTTAAAAAGAAGAAATAAAATTCCAACACTTTACTTGTCTTGCATTTGGGAGGACATATGTTTAGTATCTGTGAATTGGGCGTATATCAGGTCTTTCAGTTGCTGATCCTTCCTCGACGATCGTACATAAGTCACATCACTTCCTATCAATATATGTTTCAATTCGGTGTATTTTTCTTTTATCTACGAGACATTTCTTCCTGAAGGCCTTTTCCACTATAAGTGGTTATACTAGTAACGAAACTGTAGGGAGGATATTTGAAGATTTCCTTCAATCAAATCCGGCCCAATATATTCAGAATGAATCGAAACATCCTACCTTTATTTCATTTAAAATTTGAGAAACAAATAGACCACGCTTCAACATGACGATCGTTAATGTAGAGGTTAGGTGGCACAAAAAGGGGAGCGACAGGTGGTGCTATTAGCCATGAAACCAGGGCTCAAAAATCGACCTGATTGGAGACGAAGGTTGAGTGTAAATTACGAAAGTGTATGTTATTCAAAGTAAAATGATACTTGTCATTATAACCGCTGCTTTAAACAATGACGGCTGGTTATCTAAAAAATGATTTGAGGATTGAAACGAGAAATTCATTGTAAAAAAATGTATGAATTTTTTTTTGTCTTTTTAACTTGTATATGTGGGTTTAGACATGTGAAAAACAAAATTGCTAACACGGATCACCAAGGGAAATCTTTTTACAACTAAAAAAGCCAGATTTTTTTTTTTTTTTCACCTATAGCTTCTAAGAGATGCATCGAAGCAAAAAATGTAAGAATTAAAGAACGTTAAATCTTGGGTGGACCGGTTACTGTTAATATTAAAACCACGGTCAACCAACGCTGATTTTTACCAAATTTGTCAAAAACTGAGACAAATTACTATAAATGGCCCTCTAGATTGGAAATGAGTTCTCTAAGAGGAAAAGCTCATATTATCAAAGTTATAGAGTATTAAATTTCACGTACTGAGTACCAACATTTTTATTGTAGGTCAATTATATATCTCGAATCGGGATTCCTTATTTATTTATGAAATTCGGTATCTTTCGACACATCGTTTCTCTAAATCCTTCGCTGCTGAGAGGTGGGAAAAGGCTTATATTGCATGAAACAGACTCTAAGCAAGAATAAATCAGTAGAATAGACACCCATACTGTTGAAATATTGAAAGCCACATATGCGTTAATTACCAATTTCTAACCATCGGGAGATTACCAATTTTGTTTGGGTTAAGTGACCTACACTAAAATTGTTGGTACTCAGTGGACGCAAAATTTGATGCTCTACAACTTCGATTATATGGGTTTTTCCTCTAAGGTGACTCATTTCTAAGCTACAGGGCTATTTATAGTCGTCTTTCTCAATTTTTGACAAATTAAGTAAAACTCAGCGTTGATTAACTGTGGTTTTCTACCATACCACGTAACCAAATTATTATATTTAGGTACTTTTTTGACACAAAATTTAACGTTATTTAGTTTATGAAAGAGCACATTTTTCGTTTTGATGCATTGATTAGGAGTTATAGGTGAAACAACAAAAATAGATCGGAAAATTCTTACTTTTTTGGCTGTAAAAGGTTTTCCCTTGGTGGTCCACGTTAAAAATTTTGTTTTTTTACATATCTACCCCCATGTATACAAGTTAAAAAAAAACTTTTCCTATATTTTTCGCAATGAATTTATCATTTCGATCTTCAAGTTCTAGCCTAATATTCTTTAAATCTGCCGCCATTTTTGAAATCTGCCGCCATTTTTTAAATCAGCGACTCTGGAATCGCAGGCAAGGTTTATTTTACTTAGAATAACATACAAGTTCGTAATTTACATTCAAGCTTTCGCATAAGATATACAATTTCGTAATTTACATTCAAACTTTATCATAAGATCAGGTCAATTTTAGGGTTCTGGCTCCAAGGCTATATATCTGCTTATATCGCCCTTGCCTACAAAACAAATGTCAGCCTTGCTAATGAATATGACGTACAACTCGCTATCGTACAGCTTCTGACACGATTTTACACAAGCTGGACATAGTTTATATCAAGTCCTTAGACTCGTGACAGGAGGTTCTAAATCTACTAGAATATATACTCTAGAATCACAAACAGGCATAGGGCTTCATGGGACACGCCGCACAGTGGAGCCGATTGCCGATTTAGAAGGACAAAAACAACTTTCAACATATGAGAAATGTAATATTTCATCTTTTTTTTAGATAGCAAAAGTGGCCCAGTAAAATTTCGTTAAAAGTCTCATTGTATGGTACAGAAGAATGAGCAGGCCTTCAGTCCTACTAGTTGACAAAAAGCGTCAGCATTACTTTATTTATAGTTCAAATCAGAACCTAGCTTTGCTTAAAGCTGCTTTTGATAGCTCACTGAAAGTTGCCACGGAAACTTTTTTTGACATTCAGATTAAAGTTGTATCTCTTCCTGCTATGTTATTAGTGATCCAGCATGAACTTGTTATCATGTTAATACACATTTTCCCCCTCTAACCCGTCCTGATTAATAAAAATAATATAATAAATAGATTTTTAGCAACGTTAAAGAACAACTAACTGTATGAAAACTTTTTTGAGGCAGTGCAATGATGTTTGTACACTGGAAGCACGCAAACATACCGGAGTTGGAATCTGTTTAAAATAGTTTAAACTTACCGTCCCGGTCGGTAGATCGTGGTTTCCTGTAGAAGCAATTCCACCGCTTTGAATGAATGAATGAATGAAAAAATAATTTTATTCTGGGACTACTGTCCCCTAAGAAT